TCCTCCAGGGCTGGCTGAGTGCTGTCTTCCAGTCCCCTGGGTCTTTTCCTTCTCTGAGCCCTGGGGAAGTGGTGGTCCCCCTACTCCCCCCCTGTGTCCACTCTGGGCTCTGTCCACTGTTAACTGCCCTACTCTGCTTCCCTTTGGCTCAGGGACCTGCAGACTCTTTTTCATTTTTCCCAGCCTGAGTGTCCTTTTGCCCTGGCCCGTGTCTCATGAGCTCCTTTCTCCTTTCACTCCCTCCCCCACCCTGCCTTCTTAGGCTCTATGACTGCACAGGCCCCTAGTCCTTTAGTGTCAATCAAGCAGTCTTTAGTTCTCTTTCTTTCCTCTTTTTTAAAAGACAAGCTCTCTGGGCTCTTTGCAATCCCCACCCCCACCATCTGCCTCGTCATCACAGGGAGCTCTCCTCTCAGCTAGATGCACAGAGGTATGTCGGACAAGTGCGGTCTTGCTCTAGGAAGGACACGTTTTCTTCCATTTGCTTGTTTCAAAATACTACCAGGCCCCCACTTCTGTATTATTTCATCCAACTCCTTACCTCAGTCCCTTCCACTACCAACCACTTCTGGAAGAAGTTTATAAGTTATTTTCTGGTCCCCCCAACCCCCTTTATTGCATTACTCTTTTATTTTTTTAAAAAAGAATAGAGCAGCTGGGGGAAATACCTTAATCTTTTGATCGTGACTATGAAGTTTGAAGCTTTATCCGCCTCTTCCTTTACCCATTTCCAAAGCAAACATGCGGGCTGCGCACAGGTGGCAATTAAGCCAGTCATCACTAATGACATGCTCTCTATCTCCCATCAGAGCACCGTGCACAGCCCTATTCAAACAGGAGGGAGAAGGTCATCCCTGCCCCCACCCCATCCCTTGGAGAAGCTGCTGGAGAGGTGGGCAGGGCCTGGGGTGGAGGAGCACCTGCCTCAGGTGTGGGGGAGGGGCCATCACTCTCTCCCGGGCCCACTTTATAACTGAGCCCGCTAGACCCTGGGGACAGGGTTAGGAGGGGGACTTAAACACCCAGGCAGGGCAGAAGCACTCAGGGCCTGGGTAGCCACAGCAAGGTAAAAAATGGGAGGAAAATACATGAAGTGGGATGTCAAGAAAGAAATATAAAAAATAACTGAATGTGTTAGGAAAAGGGAACTAGGAAAGACTGAGTGAGGAGGGATGAGTTTGTCCTGAGGGGAGGAGGTAAAGACACAGAGAGGGTAGAGGATGAACCCAGAGGCTGGAGACAGGGGCTGAACTGATCCCAGCCCTACCCCAGGCTGCAAGGAACTGCCTCACTGCTGTGCCAGGGGGCCCTAAGCACTGTCCTCCAGGATGCAGCCTGCCTTAGATGAAGCCACTCAAGCTGGTGGGGCTTAGGTGATGCTCAATGCTGGCAGCTGAGGCTGGGTCAGAGTGTGAGCTTCTCCATCTGGAGCTGAGACCACAGCCCAGCCCCTTTGAAAAGTTCTGTCCACCTTCCCTGTAGAGAAGGAGGCCCACAGAGCAAGTCCCCATCTCCACAGTGTCAGGAGCCCCCACTGAGGCAGGTGGTACTTTGTGGCCTGGCTACAAGGTGTGACATGCAGCTATCAGTTCAGGAGACTGGTTGTGACATGAACCTGCAGATCAGAGAGTGACGCACACCAGGACTCAGGCGGTCTGTGGGTGTGAGCCGGTGGACACGGGGCACACTGGTGAACATGGGGAAGGAAGAGGAACAGCGGGGCAGCCTGGAACACGGACAGGCACTCCATGTCACAACAGAGGGCCAAAGGAGAGGGCTAAGAGGAACAAGGGGACATGGAGGGGAACCTTCTGAAAATGAATGTGGCTGCAAGGGCCAAGGAGAACGAGATGGGGGAAGAGCTGCTGTCCTGGGATTGGAATCAAGCAGGAAGCAAGCAGGGCAGGGGAGCCTCGGATGTAGAAATGGAGTGAACACTTTTTGACAGCTTGCTTGGTACATTTTAACTTGTTTCATCCTCACACCAATCCAATGAGGAAAGTGCTCTTATTTTTCTCACTTTACAAATGAGAAAACACAGGAACAAGGAGACTGAGTTGCCCAAGTCATGGTTATAAGTGGCAAAAGAAACGAACCAACAATGGGATTCAGACTCTTGACTAGCCCAGCGCAAAGCATGTTCTCTTACACAGTGTGATTTTGTGTCCCTCTCACCTCCTCCAGGAAGCCTTCCTAGATTGTCAGTGTTCAACTCTGATCCCTTCCTTCCTCTGTAAACCTTTGGCTAAACCTTGCCAGTGTCTCCATGTCTGGATTATCTGTTAAGAGAGAAAAGGAGAGTGTGTGTGTGTGTGTGTGTGTGTGTGTGTGTGTGTGTGTGTGGAGAAAGAGAGAGAGAGAGAGAGAGTTCAAAGCCCTCCCACCCCAATACAACCAGGGCAGGGTTTGCACGCAGAAGGGCAGGGGGATGGGAGGCGGGGTGGCGGGACATTATGAGGTAAGGGAAGGGGGTTCTCATTCCCGGGACCTCTGGATCAGCACCAAGATCAACATTCTCAGGTGCTCATTGAGGAAGAGCTGTCTGAAGGTACCGAATTCTCTGACTAGAGGTGAGGAGGTTCAGATGGCAGCAGCACCAGCCCCCCCCCCCCC